AGTAGACCTTTATCCTTTCAAATTTGGTTTACCTCTTCCAGGAAACCTTCCTGACCCTGAAATGCTATGTGAATATACTTCTTCTATACTTAAAGTATTCTGGTTAATACTAATCCCAAAACAAAGAAGTGTAAGATTATGGAATAATAACGACTCTGGGTTTCTATGAACATTATTCAGAATTCTCCTAACAAATTCAAATAATCTTCTTAATTTAGTATAACTCTATGGGTACAGATGTACTAGAAAATATCCCTGATACTACACCTAAGGTCTTAGGGTCTATCCTTCAATCACCTCTTTTCTGTTTTTATTGTATTAATGCAAGAAATGTCCATTTCCTGAAAGGTGAAAGCCAAATCTTCCTCATTACTCACCTGTGGTGTTTAACAACATATTCCCCACCCCCCAAAAAAATCACCAACTAATTAAAAGCAGATATTTAAAATACCTGATATCTCAAAAATTACCAAATATGCATCAAAGATGTACTTGCCAGAACAAAGCAAACTAACACTATTAATAAAAGCATTAACAAAGACATTTAATGAAATGCATGCAGCCTATTATGTTACTGTGCTTTTCCAAAGGTTATTGAGATTTTATCAGGAGGTAGTTTCTGGATTTTCTTATTTTTAAGATAACTTCAGCATTTATGTAGTCCAAACATTTCAAAATGCAACTAAAATATAACTAGCTGAAACATAACAAATATAAAACATTAGACTACAGAGAAGTGTGAAGTACTTAAAGTGGTACTGAGAAGGGAATTGAGACCCCTAAATCCGTGGTCTATAGTAGGAGACTGAAATTAAAAAGCTATGAGTCTATTTTTAAAATTTAGAAAAAAATATAGCAATGAAAGAAATTAAAATAAAAGAAATAATACATATAAGACTGTAAATCAATGAGAAAAATATGATGGCAAGATAAATAAAGTAGCAAAATTGGTTTTCACAATGAATAATAAAATTGACAAGTTCCTGGTTTAATAGATTAAGAAGAAATGAAGAAAAAAAGTACAAATGATATTTGAAAGAAAAAACAATAAATTTAAATGTTGTAGACATGAAATATTTAAGAACATTACAAATAAATTCGTTAATGAATATGAATATTTAGATGTAATGGATAAATTGCTGGAAAAATATAGTTGCAAGAAAAATAGACAAAAAACTAGCACTATAACTATTTAAAAAGCTTAAGGTAGTAGTTAAAAATCTTTACTCCAAAAAAAGTCCAGGTCCAGACAGTTTTAGCTACCAGGTCTTCCTAATTATTAGAAAATATATAATTATCATATGTAACAAGCAATTACGAAATGTAGAAAAAGAGAAACTATTACTCAAGTAACTTATGAAGCTATCGTTACATTGTTACCAAAACTTGACAAGGACTCTATGAGAAAGAAAAACTCATGTTCAATATTCACTCATGAATAAAAAGACTCAAAAATATTGAATAAAATATTAGCAAACCAAATCCAGTAATAATAAAAAGACGGATTTAGAGTAGAATTGCACATTTGATTTCCATTACAAAATCAATAGAAATAATTTACTCAAATAACAGATTAAAGGAGAAAATTTATCAAATTTTCTATTTCAATAGATGAAAACAAACAAAAAACCTTTGATTAAAAACAGCATTCATTTAGGTTTAAACAAAAATAAACCAAACTCTCAACAAACCTAGCTGAAGAAAGCTTAACAACCATAACAAATTTTATTTTTATTTATTTATTTTTTAAAGATTTTATTTATTTATTTGAGAGAGAGAATGAAAGAGAGAGCATGAGAGGAGAGAGGACAGTGGGAGAAACACTCTCTGGCGATCAGAGAGCCTCATGTGGGACTCGATCCCAGACTCCAGGATCATGACCTGAGCAGAGGGCAGTTGCTTAACCAACTGAGCCACCCAGGAGCCCCACAAATTTTATTTTTTTAATAGAGACATAAAACATTAAAGTATGTGTCTAATTTGTTATACTTAGAATTGTATCAAGTCAAAAATTGCCACCAACAACCACTATTCACCATTACACAGGAACACCTAGTAAGTGCAGTTACTAGAACTGAACAAAAAGAATGTATATTATAAGATCTAGAATGGAAAAAAATAACCACTGTCATTACTTGTAGATACCATGAGTATGTACATTAAAAATTTAAGCTAGCTTATAGGTAAATGATTATAATTAGTAGAAGAGTTTAGAAAGTTTTCTAAGTTCAAATAAATATTAAAATTTATTTTCTATAAACCACCTATAAACAACATGGAATTTCAATAAAATCAATAACACATACAATACCCATATAACATTAGTTTTCTAGGAATAACACTAAAAAAATCTGTGACTAAAATATAAACACATTTCTAAAGATAATAAATAGGCAGCAAATAAAAATAATATATGCTATAGAATAGACCATTCAATAGTGAAAAATAGTCAACTATCTCTTAATTTAATTAATCTCTACCCCAGAACCACATACAAAAATATTTATAGCAACATTACATATAACAACCAAAACATAGGAACTCCCTAGATGCCCACAACGAGGAGAATGTTGTAGAAAATTAAATAGTAGAAATAAATCAACTAGAATTACACACATTGACAGAAATGAATCTCAGAAATAATTTTGAGTGAAGGAAGAAAGTCATACATTATGATTCAATTTTTAGATCAAGTCCAAACACAGAAGAAGGCAACAGTATTTGTTTAGGTATATATAATTAGGTAGTAAAACACTACACAGATGATCCTTTTCCTTGGCTTGGATATATAAAGACCAATGATGTTCATTTTGATTATGTACCTGCTTGTATGTTTGTGTGTGTATAGTCCTTTTATTTATGTTCTATTTCATAAAATTTTAAAAAATGATGAATTTTAGTCTATTTCATTTGTCATCTATCTCCCAGTGAATCATATAATATCTTAGCATTTAAAAATTTTTTAACTCCATAGAAAATTTCTGCCTTAGAAAATTTTTTATATTACCAATTTTCTTGGTAGGTCAACTTTCCCTTGGCCCAAATAAAATGAGGACAGCAACAGCATGTTTATACAGGAGCAGAGTTATATGAAGCAGAAATAAATGTGGAATACTGAATTTTGTATCCAAAACCATCAGCACAAGTGAAATTTAGGCATAGCAAATTAGGTGAAAGAAACTTGAATGAATTAATAATTATAGTTATCATTAGTTGAGTTTATAATATGTCCAAATAATTAGCAAATTACTTTAGGTATATTTTCTTTAAGGCTTACAAAAATTCTGCAAAGAATAGTATCAGAAAGATAAATGGATTTGCTACTTACACAGCTCATGTAGAGAGAAGTTAGAATCTGAATCCAGGTGTGTCTCTCCTTTGCATATATGCTCTTGTCATTACTCCATATTGCCCAAATATTATTATTTGATGTCTAACAGTGGGGTCTAATAGAGCATGAAAAGAACTGATTTTTAATCTAGCTCTGTAAATTATTAGTTGTTTGAACTTGGATAATATTTAATAAACTCTTAAAGACTCAGTTCCATAGTTTTTTCTTTTTTTCTCTCTCTTCTTTTTCTTACAAATTGGGGATAATACATGTTAGAGTCATTATGAATTTTAAATAAAATTCATATGTAAAGTATCTAATACAAAATATCTGTTCAATAAATTGCAGCTTCAGTTGATTAAATTATATGAACATCTCCAAAAAATTTCAGCCTCCTGGGGTTAGAAAGAGAAACAGATGGCTGGATTCATACAGGCTAATGGAGCAAATAGAAGAAAAAGATAAGAGAGCCCAAAAGTGAAGATGCTGGTAAAGAACTCACTTTCATGACTGTTCACCTGGTTATGGCCAAGATGGGCAGATGATGAAACCTGGAAGAGGCTGGTTCTCTGACAAATAGAGAACATACTTAGGATGAACAACTTTAATGAAGTTGGGGGGTGGGGGTGGAGAAGATCTTAATTTTTAAAGAAAAGGAATGGAAGAAGAAAATGAAAGAAGACTTTAATTAAGTCAACCACAACCAACCCAGAGCAAAGAACAGTTCACAGCCTGCACAATTGCATAGCTATTTAAATACTCTCCCTCCAGTTTTCCTGATGAGATGAGCTATGAGAAAGTTTAACCAGGAGGACCTCATACTGTGGTTAGTCACAGTTTTGCTGCTGATTTGACTTAGAATGCAGTGTCTGAGTGCTTTTCAGATTTCTTTACCAAACAAGAAGTTCTCTATTTCTATGGCAGCTTCACTATGGGGAAAAAAAAACAAAAACAAAACACAAAAACCCAGAGCTCCTCCGGTTGAGTAAAAGCATAAGGACTTCCTACCATATGTTACTCATGTTCATTTGATGTCTAATTATACACCTTTCTGAATCCCTGTTACCAACAACTTAATTTTACAGTCTTTCTACAAAGACTTATTTTTTCCTGTTATTTTTTCCAAGAAGTAAAATGTTTTCTCTAGCCCAAGACTGGAATTCTGCTGCATATATACAGACCTACTTGATTCTTTTCAACTCCCTGCCTGTTTGCTCAAGTACTGTCAACCTCAGGTCCCCAGATCCTATGATCCACCAAATTGCTGTAGCCTCCACAATGCCTAGAATTGTGGTATCCCTTGAATACTGTGCATTGTCAGTTAGATATCCCTCAGCCCTAACAAACGAATCAAGCTCAACACAGGTGTCTACCAAGTCAAGTCTCACTTATAAATCTCAATATATTCCCAGAGATTATTAAAAGGCAGCTCAGAAATATAAAATATTATAGATTTCTAAAACTTGTATGTCCTCTTCTTAAGCTAATATTGTAAAAGCTATTCATTATTTGTTATCTCTCTGAAATTTGAAATTGTTTTAATTCTCTCCAACATTGACTCCAATATCCCCAAAAGACATAGAAGAAATGCTAATTAGAGATCCTTTAAGTGACAAATGAGATACTGCAGTAAGTAAAATAGCACTTTGGCTTACACTGGACTTCATACCTGAGCGCATAGCCTCTTTCTGAATGCTTTCATAGTCATGCCAGTCCTTTCTTCTCAAACCATCTGTCCATGCATAGAATTGCCCATCTCCCAGGCCCAGTGGAAATGTCTGTGGAAAAGGAAAGTATTCAGAGCATAAAAAGGTGGTATTTCCTTTTGCATGGTAGGTAAACACAGCCGAGCACATAATAGACAATCAAAGAATATTTGTTGAATAATGATTCTTCTAAGTATACTGAAAAGAAAGCTCTTGCTAGTGACAAGATTAATATACAGATTTTAAAATAAGAGCATGGGTCACTCACAACCCCTACAATTTCTTATTTTGCTTTATCCAGAGACATTAAAAACTCACTGTATCACCGCCTCTGAGCATAATACTAGTAATGGTATTAAATGGAATTAATTTTGTTTGTGATTTGCAGTTTCACTCATTTTGATCAAGTATATTTGAATGGCCTGATAATAATATTAAGCAACCATTCACTGAATGCTCACTATGAGCCAGGCACTTTATGTTAAATACTCTGCATATAAAAGATTATTTAATCTTTATGGTAGTCTATGGTTGACTAGCTCCATTTTTCTGCCAATTAAAGTTAGGCCCAGAGAACAGAAATAATTTGAATTAAACCACAGTGGCAAAGTCAGAACTTGGAACAGTTAAGACCAAAATTGTGATCTTAACAACTATTAATACTGTCTCCCATCTAGATTTCTGTCAAAGTATGGTACATGGTTACACTTGCAGTTGAAGTTAGCAACTACTCAACAAGTATAGTCACAACATATGTTTTATGCTTTGGTAAAACCCAGTATGTTCCAATGTCAACTTGAAAATTACATTTGTGTGCATTGCTGAGATTACGTTTTTGGTGTTTATTCTTGGTAATAAGAAACAAATATTTTGAAAGAAATTTATTTTCACAATCTTAATACTCAACATAATATAAAATAAATGTTTTCATATCCACATACCATTTTTTTTTCTTGGTTTACTTTTTGAAGTAAATAATACATCTCCAGAATGAAGGGTAAATATAAAGTTTCAAAGTAGATAAAACAAAAAAATAATGTGAGCGCAGAAATTTTATTCCAAGAGGCTTTCCAAGACAAATAAAATGTCTTATTTCTTAGTATGAAATAGTAGGACTATTATATATCTCAGTCCATCTTTGTAGGTTATAAAGGATCCACTTGTTTGAAAGGATGAAAATGGAGTTTGACATAAAAAAATACTTAAAATCAGAAGAAAGATTTGCAAAATCAGGTGACTATTATCTAGACATTTAAAGGAATTTGTTACAAGAGTAGTGATTTCAGGAAAATGAAAATAATAGAGGAATAAACATACAAGGATGATGATGAGTTTATATAAAATACTGAGGATAATAAGAATAAATTTTTAAAGGAGGATGACAAGAAAGAAAAGTTATGGAAAAATTAACAGAAAAGAATATAGTAAAAAGAGAAGAAAATGGGAAAAAATTTGGAAAGACATTTGGGTTTATAATAAATAGCAAACATTAAAAAATGTCATACACTTTTTCTAATTGATAATGGATTTCATAATTCGAAATTTTACCAAAATTCAGCTGGGAATCAGACATTTTAAATAATCAAATAGCTTTAAAATGCAAAACTCATGTTTTGTCTCAAATTTGCATTTGCAATAATAAATACTGAGCAGTAATGGAAATCTCTTATACTGATTCAGATAATACCAATTTATGAATATCACTTTTGGATTAAAATAGATCATCTCAAAACAAATTTTGACATTAAACATGAAGATTTTCTTGGGTAAACTCCAAATATCCAAACTCTCTCTTGTTACTTATTGGTTCACAAACAGGGCCCTGAAAAAGGAAAGAGACGGGCCACTCCAGTATAGTGGTTGACAGGTGTAATAAGCAAGGGAACTTACATATGAAGCTTGTGTTGGGCACCCCAAGACATGTAGATCCTTGCACAGGCCAGCCAGAATCTCAAAAGTTTATATAGAGACCTTAATTGGGTTCAGTCACATATGCAATCTAATAGTCTCAACAATACCTTATTCTCTCAAGGCTGTTGTTTTAAACAATTCCTAGTGTGGGAATAGTAGGTAGAATGTATGTTCCAAGGACACAGGAGGAGTGAGGAGCCTCTGATTGCCCAGGTCCCACTCTCCTGCCAGCTGGTGGTCATGTCCTCATGATGATCTCCTCCAACACTTCACCCATTTTGACCAGGTCTTATAATCTAACACATTCCCCCTCTTCTGCAATGTGCCCTATGATGCCAACAAGGGTTTTACTAGTATGGAAGTGGTTCATTTGGTTACTATTCGGCTACATTTGAGGCAGAGCTCACAGAACCTATATAGGCATACACAGGTGAAAATACAGGTTAGGATAATGATTCTCAGAGGGAGGAGCAAGATGGCGGAATATCACTGGGTCCCAGGAGTTCAGCTAGATAGTTATGAAACCATTCTGAACACCCACAAACTCAACAGGAGATCAAAGAGAAGAAGAGCAGCAATTCTAGGAACAGAAATCAACCACTTTCTGGAAGGCAGGACTTGCAGAGAAGTGAATCAGAGGCGACATATAGGAAGGCAGACTGCGGGGGCAGACTGCGCAAGCAGTAGAGCAGCAGAGCACAAAATCAGAACTTTCAGAAGTATACTCCACTGAGGAATGTTGCTCCAGAGGCTAAGCAAGGGGTGGGACCCTCATGGGCACAATGTGGTCTCAGGACCTGCGGGTTCAGAAAAAGACCAGGGGTATCTGAGTGTAGCAGAGCTGCCAGGTATCAGAGAGGGGAAGCCGGCTACAGAGACGGAGCCGAGGTGGAGGCTCTCAGCTTCGGGTTACCTTAAACCATGATCTAAGGCAAAATCCGGCCACTATTCTTTGAGCTGGAAAGCCACAAGTGGCAGATCTCCTCCTTCCACATCTGGAAGGAGTGGCGAAGGAGCCTTTGGCAGGAGTCTGCTGGGTTTGGAGACTCCAAACGGGGCCATGTGCCAGAGATAGAAATGCTCGGTCACAGGCCAGGTGAGCATGGAGTGCTGCTGGAGACCGGGAAATGGGAGAGTTTGACTGCTTTTCTCTGAGGGTGCACTGAGGAGTGGGGCCCCGAGATCTCAGCTCCTCTGGGCTGGAGATTGGGAGGCTGCCATTTTCATTCCCTTCCTCCAAACCTCTACGGAAAGCATTCAGGGAACAAAAGCTACCAAGAGTGAACCTGAGCAGATGACTTAGCTTGGTGCCTGGCAAGGGTGGTGTAACTCTGCCTCAGGCAAAGACATTTGAGAATCACAACAGGCCCCTCCCCGAGGAGATCAGCAAGAATGATCAGCCAAGATCAGCCGAGACCAAGTTCACCAATCAATGAGAAGTGCAACACTTCAGAGCTACGGGAATATAGTACATAGAATTCATGGCTTTTCCCCCATGATTCCTTAGCCTTTCAAAGTTAAATATTTTAAATTTTTTTCTCTTATTCTATTTTTTAAAATTTTTCCTCTTTCCTATTTTAATGTTTTTTAAACTATTTTATCATATCAACACTGTTTTAAAATTCTTTTAAATCTTTCATTGTTATAGTCATATTCTATTCCTTTATTGTATTTAACCATATTTTTTGTATACATATAAGTTTTTCTTTCTTTAACATTTTGGGATACAGTTTCTTCTAACAGACCAAAATAGACCCTAAATCTAGCACATGGCTTTGTTCTAGTTTTCAGTCTGATCACATTCTTTCCTCTTTTTTTAACCAGCTTCTTATTAATCAATTCCTTTTTTAGAATCTTTTTAAATTTTCATCTTTAAAGTCATATCCCATCCCTTCATCATGTTTACACTAATTTTTTTGTACATATATATATATATATATATATATGTATAAGTTTTTCTTTCTTTAAAATTTTGGGAAGTAGTTTCTTCTAACAGACCAAAATACACCCAAAATCAAGTCTGTGGCTCTCTTCTATTCACCAGTCTAATATATATTTTTTTCTTTTTTCTTCCCCCCCCAACCCGCCCCCCAGTTTCATGTCTCTTCTGATTTGGTTAGTGTATATTTTTCTGGGGTCATTGCTACCCTTTTAGTATTTCATTCTCTCATTCATCTATTCTTATCTGGATAAAATGACAAGGCAGAAAAACACCTCAAAGAAAAGAACAAGAGGCAGTATTGGTACTAGTACTGATGACTAGGGACCTAATCAGTACAGACATTAGTAATATGTCAGAACTAGAGTTCAGAATGATGACTATCAAGGTGCTAGCTGGGCTCAATAAAAGCATGGAAAATACTAGAGAATATCTTTCTGGAGAAATAAAGAACTAAAATCTAACCAAGTTGAAATCAAAAAAGGTATTAATAAGGTGCAATAAAAAATAGAGGTTCTTACTGTTAGGATAAATCAGGAAGAAGAGAGAATTAGTGATACAGAAGACCAAATGATGGAGAATAAAGAAGCTGAGAAAAAAGAGAGATAACTACTGGACCATGAGCGCAGAATTCAAGAGATAAGTGATACCATAAGACAAAACTGTATTAGAATAATTGGGATCCCAGAAGAAGAAGAAAGAGAGAGGGTGCAGAAGGTATATTGGAGCTAATTATAACAGAGAATTTCTCTAATTTGGAGGAAGCATGAATCAAAATACAGGAGACACAGAGAATCCCCCTCAAAATCAATAAAAATGAGGTCCACAACCCATCATCTAATAGTAAAACTTACAGGTCTCAGTGGCAAAGAGAAAATCCTGAAAGCAGCTCGGGATAAGAGGTTTGTAACATACAATGGTAGAAATATTAGATTAGAAGCAGACCTACCCACAGAGACCTAGCAGGCCAGAAAGGACTGGCATGATATATACTCAGAGCACTAAATGAGAAAAAAAAAAATGCAGCTAAGAATACTAAGAAAGCCAAGTTGTCATTGAAAATAGAAAAAGAGATAAAAAGCTTCCAGGACAAACAAAAACTGAAAGAATTTGCAAACACTAAACCAACCCTACAGAAAATATTGAAAGTGGTCCTCTAAGCAAAGAGAAGGACTAAAAGTAACAGACCAGAAAGGAACAGAGACAATATACAGTAACAGTC